TAGGTTTTGATATAAAACATGTAAAAAATGAGTAATTGTATAAGCGAACGAAAAAATGTCAATAGTTCTTCAAAAAATTACCAAGTAAATATAGTGACAATTCATGACTGTCTCGCCATTGATTTTTCTCTCTACCGAAAAACACCTTAAGAATTTAAGGATAAGTTATTAACGAGATTGAATCCGAATAAAAGTTGTTCATAGTTATCATCTACCTAGATAGTGTCATTAAAAAGTCATCAATTGCATCATACATCGTGTCGTAATGCTTATTTATCTATTCATGTTTCCAGAAAACATATCTCTATGACAGAAAAAAAAAATCTCTTTCATTTATTCAATATCAATCATATCTTAACATGTGATATATCTATGCTAGTTAACATATATTTCTAAAGCTTATTCAACATATAACTGACTAGTCTATTGGCTAATCATTCTTATTAATTATCGAATTTGTTTATAGAATTAGTTTGAGGCTATCTTATAACTAATTACTTTTTTCCTTTTTGTCTTTTGTAAAACATCGACGATAACCGCAATTTCAATGTGACAACGTTACGAAATTGTTTTTGTCGAAAATCATTTTAGGATTTTGAAAATGTTAAAGCAAACGATTTCAAAATCTATTGATTATGATTGAAAACTCTTTTTATATTGATTATATTAATTAGTGGCGTAGTCAGGAATTTTTGAATAGCGGACAGTATTTCAACCAAACTCTTTTGAGATTTAGATAGCAATAGATAATTCAAAAATTCATTGAGTAATAATTTTTAAAAACTTATTGCTTTTATAAAAGCCGATGTTTACTAACGAGAAATTCATCAAGTTAAACTAAGAGGCCAGTCCGCTCTCCCACATTCTTTGTGCTGTTTCACAAATGTACTCTCTAACTTTGAAATAATAGATTATTTTATGTCAAAAAAGCACAAATAAACATAAATAGAAACATTGTAATAGACAATAATATTTAGTATAGAAATAATCGTAAATCTCTCTATCAACAATTGTGCCGCCTTTTATTACTCTATTTTGTTCAACAGCGGAAAATACTTACTGTTGTCTCTCATTCTGTTGCGATATCAATGATGGTTTCTTTCATTCAATAGACGGTTGCCACAATCACTATTATTTTCTAATAAGTGATGATGATGACAACGAGTGTTCGTGTATCTATTTCATTGAACAACAACAAATGTCACTTGTTTTCTTTCATCGCAGAATGACGATCATCATCGTTAGTTTGTTCTCTTTTGTCGTACATTGATAATCGCTACTTCATATTTATCACTAGACAATCTTCTCAAATCTGACAGTTTTATTTATGTATGTCACTAATGTTCAATTATCTATACATACACTAAATTACATATTATCATTTAATTATCCCTAGTTGCAATTTCTGACTTACATTTCCAAAGCACTTTCATTTACACATTGTACCACTTTTTTTTAATTTACATCTTCTATTTAGTTTATATAAGTTTTTAATCATTGCATTAAGCGAATTATGTCACAATTTACATCGTCAATGCTTACAGATTGGATTGTTTTCGATGTTTTCGTTCTATAGGCTTAATATGCTTCGAAGAATTGTTAAGCATTCATCCACATTCTTCTTTAGTGAATTAATATGTAGGACTGAATATATTGATGAAAAAAATAATGTTGAGTCGTCACCATTGAAGTAATTGGTTCGGTGGAGAAAAGTGTCAATTGATTAGATATCATTAATAAACAATGCATTAAGATCTCACCACTTCAATCTTCCAACATATATGACTATCAAATTTTTTGGCTGTAAGCAATTGCCATTATCCTAATAAAATCAGTGGACAATAAATTTTGGATTAGTAAGCAATTGTCCACTTGTCCACCATCTGGCTACGCCACTTATATCAATAGTAGAAACTGAAACATTTGTTTAATTCAAAATGAACAAGTTAACTACTCGCTAATCGAACAAAACTTCATCAAAGATTATAAGATAGTTCAATGTAAACAAAATGTCACATCGAAACCTTTCTGATAAGCTGTCTGTATGTATACGACTGTTTCTTTTTTAAACAAGCTTTTCGAGAATTTATTCTTAGAGCGCAACGCTGTTTTCCTGTTGATCCGACCAGTTAGATTTTTCGAAAGGATAATTATCCTAATCATAAGTTTTATATGTATGTCAATCGAATGTGAATACGCCAATCAAATTAGTGTTTTAACTGGGTTACTGGAAGTTCGCCAATAAGACTTTCGCCAATAGGACATTCGCCAATGGCGAAAGTCCAGGGGTCTATTGGCGAAAGTGTAGTGGACTTTCGCCAATTGACGAAAGTACAGTAAACTTTCCCCAACGGTCACGAAATAATATTAATACAGGGTATATGTAAGAGTTGAAGCTACAGTCTGTCGAATTCAAGAATTTCTGGAGCCGAACCCGATTGATGGATCTTTTAAGAGAAAAATTGAAAGAAATTCCAAAAAGATTATTATATACATGAGATATTTCTTTGGATCTCGATCCGATCAGTAAAATTTTCCGAACCCGGACACGAACTCAGTGATTACAAAGCTTTCAGATCCGCAACCGCTTGGATTCGGGTCTTAGTAGGTCCAACGTGCTCTAGCTGGAGCTAATGTTGTTAGAATGTTTATCATAACTTACACTGATCAATATAGCCGACAGAAATTTTCGAATCTATATCTAGTTTGCAGTCAAATTGGCGAAAGTACAGTGGACCTTCGCCATTGTAGAGAGTCCTATTTTGCGAAAGTCTTATTGGCGAAGTTCCGGAATCCTTTCTCAAAGAAATATACTTCTCTTTCGTTTTGCTTTAAAAGCCAATGATCGACTACGTGCTAAAAGAATCTTAAGATTGGTAGGTATTGCTATTAGTATCACTAAGAAGTCAAGAAATAGGCCGTAAGTTGTGTCGTAATGCCTATTCATCCATTCATGTTCCTAGAAAAGATACGTGTATGACAGAAAAACAAATTTATCTCTTTCATTTATTCAATATTAATCATATCAATAGATTTATTTCCATGTGATATATCTATGCTAACTGATATATATATTCAAAGTTTATTTAAAAATAAATTGGAACATATAATTGACTAATCCATTGGCTAATCATTCTTATTAGTTATCTAATTTGATTAGAGAATTGACCCAAGCCTATTCTCTAAATAGTCATCTATTTAACTAATCAATTTTTTTCCTTTTTGTCTTTTGTAAAAAGATTGACTCTATTATCTTCAATGTGACAACGTTACAAAAGTGTTTTTATCGAACACCATTTTCTCTTTTCGAAAATGTCGAAATCCATTGCTTGTGACCGAAAATTTTTTCCATAATGGTTATATCAACATTATAAAGGCGAACATCTGTTCAAATCTAAATGAACAGCTAAAATACTTGCTAATCGAAGAATATTTTTTCAAAGATTATAAGATAATCCAAAGTAAAAAAGACGTCACATTGAAACCTTTTTCATAAGCTTTGTGTACGACTGTTTTATTGTTAATAAGTTTTTCGAGAATTTATTCTTACGACGCAACACTATTTTCCTATTGATTTGACTAGTTAGATTTTCCAAAAGAATAGTTATCCTAATCATAAGTATTATACATCAATAGAATGTGAGAACAACAATCAAATTGATGTTCTAATCTGGTCTCTCATCTATCAACAGATAAAAAGACAACACAAATAAATGTTAAGAACATTGGAACAGTTCTTCAACTGCAATAAGATTTTTAAAAAAGTATCAAACAATTCATTAACATTGTTATCAAAAATCATTCTATTTAATGAAGCGGATAGAAAAGAGTTTTAGTTAATATTCTATTATATAGCTAAGTTGACAACTAATTTTCAATATAACTTTAAACTTTCTAATTGTGCTTGAGTTTTCAGTGAGTTAAAAATTTATTTATTATTTGTAAATCATGTAAAAATCTAGTAGAAAAAACGTTGCTTTTTTATACATGTTGACAGACATGTTATACAATAGAAATAGACCTGTTAAATAGATAAAAACTATTGAAAACGATTGTTCTTTTCTTAGGAAATTTTTTTCAATATTTCTATCAAAGATAAAACTGTCAAAAAACACCCTAGAAGATCTCAAATAGACTTAAAAAAGATTTTTTTCCAACTGCTCTGTCCGATAGAACAATGAGAGAAAATAAAATCGAGAATATATATTAAATGAATTTCATATTCTATTTTCATTTATAATCTGTTTAAGAAGAAAAAAGTGTGTATTACCTATATGGTGACTGGCTACAGCAATCGAGTGACATCTAGATGAGTTTTTTCATATTGTTATTTGTTCGCTAATATTAACATTGGTAGATTGAATATGAATGAATTAATGACAATCTAATCGACTACTAATATATGCATTATTTTTACTATTGAACGAAATAAAAGAATTATTTATTTAAACAATTCTTTATTATTACTATGATATTATTTTATTAATCTATCAATAAGATAAATCAATATTTTTAATATTAAAAATAAGAATATTTAATTGAATGATTTATTTTAATATATTATTCATTTCGAGAAGTTTAATATATAAATGAACAGAATTAATTTATCACTAACGACTAAAGTATTATTTATAAATAAATTATATTTTTATCAAGTAAGATTATATTTATTTCTCTATATCGATATATAAAATTGTTATTATTATAAATAGAGGAATATTTTATTCAAAATATATATTTATTGTTAATATGTTAATTTATCTCGAATAATAAACATTGTTTATAAATAGTATAGATTTATTTCTATAATAGAACGAATAAAATCCTATTTTAATAAATTTAATATTTCATCCATCTTATCATGTATTTATTTTTTTTTTATGACAATTTTCTTAACTTGATTTTTAAATTTTATTTCTTTTGTTTTTATTAATTTAAGAAAAATATATGTTTTAGTTAAAAGAAAATGAAAAATGAAAAATGAATATTTATTTTAAGATATGCTTAAAGAAGAATTAAATTCATGTGAAAATAATCTAGTTGTTCATTTAATTATAATTGGTTTTCATCATAAAAAAGGTCATCAGGTATATAATTAAATATTTATTTAAAATAAATAAATAAAAAAAAAACAAATAAATATTTAGATTGAATATAGTTATCCATTATTAAATGAACCAATTGATGAATATTGGTCAAATATAGGAGGTTTAGCATTACCAGATGGTGTACATCAGAGACAATATGATTTAATTTATTTTCATCTTCCATCTATTTATCATCAAGATAATATTCACAAAACATTATTTGGTATTGCTTCATATAGACAAATTGATGCTAATGTATCATTCGACTTTTTTTTTCTTCTTTCAATCATTTTACTTTTTGTTTTATTTAGACAGTTACTAATAAGGAAGCTGATATAACACGAAATTCAATTCAAAAAAGTGTTTGTCTTATTTTACGTCAAGTAAAATAATTTTTTTTTTGTTTTTGTTTAATGATATTAAAAAAAAAAACAAACATATTTTAGCCTGTTTATGGAAATGTAAGTGAAGAACTTCAATTGTTAACTGAAAAATATTTTGAAGAAAAAAAATTTAATGAAAGAAAAATGTTTGAAGAATTTGTTGATAAATTAAATAAAAATCCTCCAAAATTTGATTTAAAATATTATTCTGCTCGTGATCTTGTTTGTCGTTATCGACGTAAAACACTTATTCTTTTTAAACTTATTTTATTACAAAAAAAAGTAATTTTATTTATTCATTTATTTAACTTCATTTTTATTATAATAGGTTTTATTTATGTTATCACCTATTCAAAATTTAGTTCAAACAATAATGAATCTTGTCTCGCTAATTCCTAGTAAGTCAATATTTGCTTTTTTTCACTCAACAATTACATCGATAGATATTAATCAATATTAATTTCGTTTTTTAATTTTAAATTCGAATATGATATTTGATATATATTGATTAAGCAAATAATCGAATTAATCAATGATAGGAATATTATTGTTAGATCAGTTAGATTTTTCTCTATATTAATTATCATATATATATATATATATATATACATATGTGTGTGATAATATGTTGTTAATTATAAATAAATAAGATTAATATAATAAAAAAAACATATATATATATATATTCTTAATAGATTTAATAGAAACCGGTTTAAATGAATGTACATTAATTGATGATAAAAGTGATATTGAAAATGAAATAAATTTAAATGAAAATGAAGATATTGTTTTCTCAAGAAATGATGATAAACAAATTGATTTTGATAATATTAAATTAAAAACATTAAAAATAGCTGATGATGATGATAATGATAATGATGATGATGATAAATTATCAAATCAGTTTGAACAAACAAACACAGAAGATATTAAAAATAATTTATTAAAACGAGCTACATCAATAACAAATAAATTATCAGATACATTTAATCGTTTAACTTCAACAACATCAACATCAACATCAATAGCCATAAATAATAATGAACTTGTTAATTTAATTGATCAATATCAATTATCATATGATTTATTTAAAAAAGTTTCGATTCTTTCTTTTTAATTTAATTAAAATATAAATAAAAAGAAAAAATTCTTGTATTTAGAATAATCTACTTCATCCATATATATCAATATATTCTCTTGATATAATTAATAATTCAAATATAAATTCATATTTAATTGGTGCAAGTAATCGTTTATATCGTCAACAAAATAATATTGATTTTATTTTAACTGATTATGATGATGACGATTTTATAATTCAATCATCATTATTAAAACAACAACTTCAATTAACAACAGCTGATTTAAGATTTACTCAATTATTTGAAGATTCACAATCAAGTTTGTTTTTATTTTTCATATATTTTAATTGAACGTTTTTTCTTTTTTTTAAAAAAAAAACAAAAAAAAACCAGTTATTCAAAGTGAAGAAGAAATTCGTCGTCTATTTAAAATCTATTTCTTCTCATTATTATGTGTAGCTCGAACTCCTAGTAAGTTAATTTGTTTTTAATTCTCTTCATTTAGTTTTTTTTTTTGGTTAATATAAAAGATGATGAAGGAATGAATGATTTTAATCCATTATTTGTTAAATCATTTCAATCAACAAATGCATTTCGTTTATGGCAATCAAAAGGACCTTATCCATATATTGATCAAATTCCTCCACGGTTTTATTTATTATCTATATAGAAACGATAGAAATAAAAACAAATTTATTTTTAGACATCCTCAAGCAGGACAACTTAATGTAAATGATGTTAAATTACGTGTTGCTCAGTATGTATTTAATCAATTTAGTTTTTTTCTTTATTATAAATAAAAAATTGTTTTTAAAAAGTGTTCTCGATGATTCTGAAGCTGGTAGAAAATTAAAAGGTGCATTTGAAGATACATCTCAATTTATGGGTGAAAAATCTCGAGCAGCAACTAAAGTACTTGGACAAGCAAAGAATTCTCTATTTAGTTCAGTTATTGGAACAATAAATCAAGGTAAACAATGGTTATCAAAAGGTCAATCATCATCTCCAACATCTAATTAAATTTTCTTTTTTTTTTTTGTTTTTTTGTCAAATAATTATTTCATCATGTCAATTGTTTTCACCTTGTTTTCTTTTTCAAATTATATTTATCGACATATTCCAGTGGATTTTCCTCTTTTTCTTTTTTATCGTAAATAAAATTCGTTCCAATTTTATTCAATGAAAGTTTTTTTAATATGATTTCAATACTCGTCATTTAACAATCTTGCTTTGAAAAAGTTACATTTTAAATAGACTATTCTACAGTCTATTGACAATAAAACGATGAACTTAAATAATCTCTTCCAATACTGACTTTCTGGCGTTAAATACCTCAAGCGAAAGTAAAGTATTCAAGATACTTACGATTTTTGAAAAGTACTGTGTTTTATACTTTGCGGATAAAAATAAAGTACCCTCAAGGTACTTCGTTAGATAAAAATGTACTTTGTCAATTTTTTGTCATTATTTAAAAGTTGCGTCTTTCCTTCTTGTGGATGTGTTTTACTTGTAGATTGATTGAAGAACATTTTTTTCTTTAGTTTTTTTTGGAGTCAAAGCCTTTATTATGATGTTAAGAGGAAGAAACACGAAAAAAGAGATGATATATACAAAAGGCTGGAAAACAAACGGAGAGACGCATGACAAGTGTCTTTTGTCCCATGAAAAGTGTTTATACGTTGTTTAGTTTTAACGTTGTACATGATGCAAACTTGTAGTATGCGAATCCGATATAACATTTTTTATACGGATTCTGTCGATTCATCAGTGATCTATAATAACGATGTATATATTATAGGGTGTGTGGGTGTGGGTGTGGGTGTGGGGTGTGGGTGTTGGTGTGGGGTGTGTGGTGTGGGTGTGGGGTGTGGGTGTGTGGGTGTGGGTGTGGAGTGGGTGTGGGTGTGGGCATCGGCGGGCCAGCGTCTTTTTTTTAGGTGTGGCAAAATTTTTAAAATATCTGAGGAAGTTATAAGAAGTTAATTACAAAATCTTGTTAGTGTACGTGCATTTTCATAAAAAAGAGTTTCTATATTAGTAATTCTGTGCATTTTATTTTTATTATTTCACTATTAAAAAAAAATGATAAAGCAAAAAACAATGGCACCGAAACCTGTCACGCAAAGATTTATAAATACAATTAAAATATTATTTTTCGGCTGTTCTTTACTGCTACGAATTTTTTTACAATTTCATCATAGTCAATTTCAAATTCACGCTCAATGTTTAGCAATGCAAGTGCTGATAAACGATCTTCTCCTGTTGTCGTTCGAAGATAAGTTTTGATTCTTCTCAATGTCGAAAAGCTTCTTTCGCATCCACAAGTGTTTACAGGTATCGTTAATAAAATCCTAAACAATTCGTTCATTACAGGTAAAGCAACATTCAAATGATTTTCGAGAATGAAAGATTTAACTTCAGTTAAATTTGCCTGAGAAGTAGGCAATTTTGTCTTGTATAAACGTTGTTCGCCTCTTAGATCGTCGTAACTGAGCGAATATTGTTTCGACAGTTGCTGTAATTCATTTTCATTCAATAATTCCTTGGTTAGAAACAGTTTTTCCGTGAGCAAAATGTCATTGATCATATTTTTATCGAATCGATTTTCAATTGATGCAATAATTGTATCCAGAACAGCATAGTAAGTGTTTATTCTATAGTGATCTTTAATATTTATGTCATTTAATTCTTTTTCTCCACCTCCAAGACGAGCAGGAATTTTTTCTTTCTAAGCTCCTTCGGAGGATCGATTTCATTATCTTCACACATTTGCAATGCTATCGAATAAAAACGTTGGAACTCTGTTTCATTCCTTAAAGATTTTAAGGTTTCAACAGTCATTTTTACTTGCTTTAAAGCTTGAGTGATACATATTTCAGAACTTTGTAGATATTTCGATAAGATATTAGTTATTAGATATATTTCAGACATGATGAACACATGAAACACGAAATCAAATGATTCAATAGAATTAAGAAGTAAATAAGATTCCGGTGCTTCCATTACTTGAAGTGTAGAAATGATTGGTACATACCTAGTTAAGACGATTTTCAGACAATCCCATCTACATACCCACCTTGTATCTGATAATTGTTTCATTGTCAAAGACTGTAATCCAGCTTCTTGTTGCACTTCTTCGAATACGACGTGCTTTTTGGCAGAACATTCAATCAAATTGTATAAAGATGAGATAATACCAAAATTATTTCTGACAGATGGAACTCTAGATGAAACGACAACTAAACAAAGGTTCAAAATATGTCCATTGCAATGTATATAAATACCTGAACGATAAAGAGAGAAACACAACATATTTAAAAAAAGCATTGTCATTATTCGTTTTCCTTCTTACCACATGGTGCCACTTGTTTCAGACGTGCTGCTACACCTTTATATTCACCTCGCATTGCAGAAGCTCCGTCATATGACTAACCAACAATATTTTTAACTTCCAAATTTAATTTTTTAAGCCACTCTAATAATAAATTGAATAATGCTTCACCTGTCATTTCCTTCGTTCTCTCAAAACCCATGAATCGTTCATGAATATTAAAATTTTCATCGGTATATCTTATCACTAAGGATACTTGCTCTTGTTTCGACATATCAGTTGTTTCATCAATCATAACAGAAAAATATTTTGCTTTCTGAATTTCTTGTATAATACGATTTAATACTTGCTTATTCATCAGTAGAATCAGCTCGTTTTGAATTTTGTAATCTGTAAAATTGATTTCTTCTTTTTTTCTTTTTATTAGTTCATTATCACTACTTCTTAGTTCCAAAATTTCTAAGAAATTGCCTCTATTTTTGGAGTCCACATTTTCACGATGACCACGAACTAAAATATGAAAAATAACTAAGTCAAAGGAAACAAGGAGTACGCACATTTTTAATTAAAAATCTAATTATATTAGAATAACTTACAACTGACACCTTGTCGCGCTAGAAAATGAGCTGTTCGAATTAATTCTTTCAAATACGCTCGATTTTCAGTTGCTTGTTTAGAATTCTGTTGATCTAATAATTTTAATACATCTGTATTGTTATTGTGATTTTGTACAGTTGTTTTTCATCTTTCAAACGATTCTTTATGACTATATCTTGCTTGATGTTCATTTAACCTTAATGTTTCATTTTTCCATATATTAAAACCATTAATTGTAAATCCTGCATCAAATTTATGTTCACCACGTAAGCGACATGAAAAACAGAATGCACGATCCAATTCTAAACTATATTCTAACCATGGATAAATATTATACCATCCACGACGAAAACGACGACCATTGACCTTGGGAAACTGTGTTTGTGGTTGAAATGGGCCTAACAATATATATTCTTTTGCTTTTGCAGGACCATGACATGGGTCTCGTTCATTCGAAGACAATGACATGGTAGATTCTGCTGTTGCAGAGCTACTAATTGAAGCAGCAGTGGTATTGTTGGTGACCAATGTAGTGGAATTTGTCGATTCATTTGGTTTAAATCGTTTTGTTCGAAGAATATCTGTTTCTTCAGTTGAACATGATTGAACTGTTGTTTCATGAACTTCGTCAATATTATAAGTATTTGATACTTTCTTGAAGTAGTTAGTTAATGAATTTTTACTTTGAGACATTTTACAAGAATTAATCTGAAAAGAAGCAGAACAAATATTGATCTAAACTTCAATTATAATCAAAATATATATAGCATAAAATTCCGTTGAATTTGTTTTTACTTGTTGACTTGTTCAAAGAAACATCTATTGTTTCAATTTTACGAATTTATTTGTCGTCGTCAGTGTGGTGCGGTTATACTGAGAGAGAGAGCAAGAATGAGAGATAAACAGAACAGAAAAAAACATACAGTGCATAATCAGTCCGCTTAATTGTGACATTCACTGTTATTGAAAAAGAACATTCTCTTGTTCTATTCTCTTTCTCAGCTATGTGAATAAGCATTATAAATCATATC